CCTGAAATTCAAATCCAAGAGACACCAGCCTGAAGACCATGGTCTCGAAGCTGAGTCATCTTCAAGTGGAGCTGCTGGGAGCACTGCTGGAGTCGGGGCTAACCAAGGAGACCCTCATCAAGGCGCTGAGCGAAGTGGAACCCTACATGCTCCAGAGTGAAAGTCAGCGTGCTATCAATGCCCTCCAGACAGAGAAAGGGGAACCCTGTCCCGACATCCCCAACGGAATGGGGGAGTCCAGGTTATCAGAAGATGAAACCTCTGATGATGGGGAGGAATTTACCCCTCCAATAATGAAGGAGCTGGAAAACTTGAGCCCTGAGGAGGCTGCTCACCAGAAGGCTGTGGTGGAAAGACTATTACAGTAAGGACAGATTTGCTGCTTCTCTTTGCTGCTTTCTTGCACTCTCCCTCTGAATCTCTCCTTTCCCCTTCTGCTCAGTGTCCCTGGTATTCAATTGATCTAGCTGCACAGAGACAATCTTCATCCATGCCAGGGCTACCAGCCTCCCAAAACACACCCCAAATTCTTTAGAAATGCTCAAACCTTCCTTTTCATCTCACTTAATATGCATGAAGGGAGCCATAGAGCCTGATTATATATTTGAAGTGCTTATTTCATTTATTTCATTGGGCTTCAGAATAGTCAGAGGCCCGTATAACTTGCATCTCTGACTGAATGTTAGCTTTTAGGATTTAAATTTTTAATAGGATTCACAGTTTCAGTCATCAGGAAATTAAAAAAAAAAGAAAAAGAAAAAACATCTGGTCACTCTTTAAATGATGCTATATTTGCCTGAGGATGTGTAGTAAAGTGAAGCTGTAATGCTTCCTTGCTATATTTAAGGAGATTAATATTGTTAATTTCACTGGGTTTTGCTATAGATTATCGGTCAAAGACAAACCAAGAGAACTTGTTCTTGTCATTCTTGTGAGTGCAAAGTTCTCCTGACTTCAGTGGGGATTTTTCTTGTAGAAAGAGCACACACCAAACGCAGAGGTTAAAACCTGGGCGGAACACTCTGCTTCTTACCCTCCACTACCCATCACAACTACAAAGTACCTATGCAGTTACAGGTCTTACTGCCACACAAATTTGCCTAGCATTTTTGAGATCAAAAGGCAGGAAAAGTTCCCTGAACCAATAAGCCTCATGATAGACTCAGAGAAACATTCACCAGGATTCCCATTTGGGATTCTTGCTGGGATACAATTCCCGTGGACAACCTAAGAGGTTTGTCCAAGAAAGGATTAGGTCCATGCAACCTATCAATCACACCAGAACCAGATTCTTGCCCATCTGTTTTGGGGGGTATTTTGAAATGACGAGCTGATAGAAGACAAAAAGATGCAGCAACATCCTGCATTTAAAATCTTCACTAAAACTAAAATCCATCTAAAGAATTTCTCAGGCTTTCTGATCACTCCCCTTCATGTGCAAAGGAAATTAACATAAAAGGTAACAAGAAGCAGCAAACATCAAATCCCACCACCAAAGGCCAGAGCTAGCAAAACAGCACGACATGAGTTAGCATTCACTGGAAATACTTCGGAGAAGAAAGCTCCCTGGAAGACTGGGAGTTGATGCCTCTGCAGTACCTAACGGAGGAAAATTCACTGAATCAGCTCTTACCTGGGTGGGGAAAGCATTCCCAATAATTCAGTCTTTTCTGGCCCAGTACATCTCTCCCATCTCTTCCCCACTTCCAGTTCTGTCACATCTTTTAGTCTCCTCTGTTCCCTTTACCTCTTTCCCATCCTTTTTACATACTTTCCTTCTCTCCTCACTTTTGTCTCTGCTGCTATTCCTCCCATTTTGTTGTCTTCTTGGCTAATTCTCTCTCTCCCTTCCACTTTTTCTTCCCCTCATCCTTGTCTCCTTCTCATCTTCCTGAGTCTGCGTACAGGTCTTGGGGTAGTTTGAGCCCAGTGGCACCGGGCGGGCCCTGGCTAGTTACTAATTATCCAATGGCTTTATTATTTCTCTTTTGTCTTATAAATTTATAGATGAAAAGACCCTGATAAGCTTTTTGATCATTAACTTCTGATGGTTTATCAGGTATCTCTCCACAAAGGAAGCCATGGAAGTTGAAGAGCAGCACCTGGCTTTGTCCCATTTTTTGTAATGAATGGATGAAGCAGGACTGAGGTGCCATCCGCTGTGATCTAAGAACAGACACACGGATGGAGGGAATTCCTTCCTGCCACCCTTCAGCATGAATTCTGGTTTCTGATTCTCCCTGCCTTTCTAGGAGCTTGCTGACAGTCTTTCCTGTGCTTACTACCAGCCTCAGCACAACAGGCTTACCTCTCTTGCAAACCTGTGATATTAATGCTTTCCAATGAACAGTCTCACATCTCTCTCTAGACAGTCAGTTGAGCAGCATTCCCATTTAACAAATGAGAACTGAGGAACAGAGAGATTCTATGACCTACCAAAAACCCTAAGATAGCGCAGAGAGGACTGGGCAAGGATCTCCTAAGCCTCATACTGGGTCTTAATTGCAAAGCTTTATTCTGAAACACCAGAGTTTTCTTTCATCAGTCCCCTGTATCACAGGACAGAGCAATTCACTTCTGCTGTTGAGGACAGCATGAGGGGACCAGAAGCCTCAGTTTCAGAAAAAAATTATGAGTATACTTACAGAGGAATAGAATAGATCAAGATTAGTCAAGGTAAAATGAACATAAGAGGAAGTCTGTATTGACATGTTTCAAATTTCTGGTCAGATTAAAAAAAGGCACCTGTATGTCTGAGAATCTGTTTGAAGCATCTGAACCAGTATCAGGGTTTGATAATATGTAAGCAGTTGTTACCTACTAATAAACGTCTTTTTTGCTTTTAAGAACAAACCTTTCCATTAATAGATGCCTAAAGGTAATGTCCTTAAAATAGTATTATAAGTATTGTAAGAAATGGTCTGTAATAGAAATTACTCCCAGCAATAGATAAAAGGAAGGCAGGCAAGAATCTCCATGCCCAGGGATTCCCAGTAAAACTTCAATGCTTGCAAAGCTATTTCAGCATCTACACAAGATTTCAAATCCAGAAGCCAGATGGAGGCACTTCTGACTTTAGGCAGAAGACTCTTTGGGCATTATTAACAATTCCTGGTCTAATACTGTAGACCACATTTTAACAGAGAGGTTGACTTGTGGGCAGCTATTAGTGATACAAGGAAGTCTTTGTGGTAGCTGCAGCTATTGCTTATAAAGTAGAATCAGGAAAGTGTCCATTGCTAGGCTTTCCAGGAGCTGGAAAGGAAAAAAATACAGCACCAAGAGACCAGGTATGTCCTCACAGGACCACTAAAGTTTAAACCAGAATTTGGAAAGCATTAGTCAAAGCTGAGTAAAACAGAATGTACAGAAGATACACCCACATGACTGGGTGCACCTGTAGGTATTATAGATTTTGTCCCTACAGAAACAAAGGCAAAAGGCAGTTCAGACAAAGGTTTTTCTAGTGAGGAACTAACATAATTTCATTTTGTCCCTTAATCTGTCTCACTGATCTTCCATAGATTCACAGTTTGAATAAAACCATTCTTTCCATATCACTCCACACAGAAAACAAATTGCATCTATGATAAATAATAAATAACTCAGTAGGGAGATGGAGCTGTGTGCAGTAATTCCCAGATATTCCGCAGAGTAGAGAGTAAGAGAGAGGACCTTGGGGGAAGGGACAGATCGTACTACCACAGGTACAGCAAATGGAGAGAGGTATAGCAACAATTCACCTGTAGGGCAAGGGGTGAAATTCCATTAGGAAAGAGAGAGAGAAATTGAGATAAGCAACAGATTTCCCCTGGAGGCAGGGATAAAAGCATGTTTTCCATGAGGAAAAAAGAAAACAAAGATACAATGATAAAGGTTCAGTCTTTTCCCCGTGCAAGCAGTGTCTTAGAATGGCTCTACCTGGGGAATCTGGAGATGAAGCTGCCACACCCCTTTCATTTCCACATATAAACCAAGATGAGGCAAACCAGGCCAAGTTCAATAGAAAGGAACCCTGCCGGAATGGTCTTACCTTCCCTGCTCTCTGCCCAGCTGGGCTCCAGGCTGGGCACTGACATCAGCGAGGGTTGTCTAGCAGGCTCCAGAGGAAAGGGCCAGAGGATGGTCCTGAGTACTTCACAGCTCTGAACCTCTGTTTAAGCAAGGTCTGGTCCAAAGCAGCAATTCAGAACCCACCTCAGAGAAATGAAGGCTTCTCTTGCCTGAGAATCTGAGAACAGGAAAGAAGGAAAGGAGAGACAGAGAGAATGAGGAAGAAGAGGGGAAAGAACGGAACAAAGGAAAGAGAAAAGTCAGGAAGAGTGAAGGAGGGAGAAGGTCCCCTGAATGTTACATCTCCAGCTCTCTGGAATGGGTTTTCTTTAATGCTAACAACTTGATATTTACTTTCCATTTAAATTTGAGATGTTGCTATAAATTATCAACCAGCCTCTTGTTCCCTTTGAGTTTATAACTAACTACCTGGGTTACTTATTGTTCAGGTAACAAAAGGGAGGTGAAAACGCCCTTAAAAAGTGACCTCAGAACTAAGAAAATGGGAAGCTGGCATGGAGAGGACCCAGGCCCCTGTGGTTGAGATGAACCAGGGAGAGGGGCTATGCTCAGATGGCAAAAAGCAACTGACAGCAGAAGAGCAAGACTTAGGAAAAGGGAAGTAAAAACCAACTGTGTGAGAAGATTAGACCTTGGAGAACAAGAGAGGAATGGGGACACAGCTTGCATCTGGGGAGAAAGGGAAGCTAAAAAGCAGAAAACCAGGCTTGGAGATAGAGAAGGAGATCTTGAGCAAGGCAGACCCATTTCCACAGTTCTGACTCACTGCAGCAATTGAGATTTTAGTGCAACTACAAACAGGAGAACTAGGCTTAGGGTGAAATCCTACCCTCTGACAGTCAATGACAGTCTTACCACCAGTGAAAGAGCAAAGGTTTCAACATATGATGTCTTAGTCAAAGGTGAAGGCTCTGCAGGTGGAACTATGTATTTGGGCAATGGTTCATGCGAGGGTTCAGCTGACCAACTGCCATCACTTGTTCTGTGATGTAGCCTTGGGCCTAAAGGAATTGCTGCATTGATACTACAGCCTGTGCTTTGACAATATACAGAGTAGCTAGGATTTCATACAACTGTCCTATGAAATCATACTGTACTAAGATTCCCCTGCACTCTGTTGCCTCAAAGCTCCCCGCTTTGTCTTAAAAACCACAGGGCTTTAACCACTGTGAGAAGAGACTCACAGATACTTCCTGCTTTATTCCTACCACAAAGAAGTGAGGATCTCAACAGGGGAGACAAACGTAATTCATGATTAGGGTGCAGGAAGGAAATCAACATGTCACAGAGGTTTCCATCAGTGGTAACACAGTCCTTCCTCTTCCCATCTGAGCCAGAACTCAAATCTGAGAGACTAGAGGTTCCAAGTCAGAGCCTTTTCTCCTTTGTATAGGGACTTGTATAATGAATTCAGGGTGCAGGTGCTGGCTAGACTATCACAAATACAAAGGGAAGAGATTGGTCCTTGGTTTGGACAGCAGAAAAAGAAAAAAACCAAAACACCCACACTGAGGAAAGAAAAGCTTTCCTTAAGTTCAGCCCAATTTTAGGGTTTTGAAAGACAAAGATGGTTAAGAGAAGAAGCTAGAAAATAGAAGCCTCCATAGCAAGTATCCCATCGTAACAGAGAAATAAATGTTCCTATTTTAAGAAAGCAGCTTCTTCAGAAAGCTGTAACTGAGACTGCTTCTGTCACACTTTAACTGCAGCAGAGCTTGCTCCTTGGACTATCCAGCCACTGGGAGAGAGGCTGCAGGGGAACAGAGATAAGGGTGTTTGTACTGAGAGAACAGGTGTGGACTTTGTCCGCCTTATCACTTTGCAGCCTCTGGCAACCTCCTGAGTCAACAAAACAATGAACAGTACGGTTGTTGCCTGTTGCTCAGACCGGTGTGTTCTTGTGACAGTTTCTGCACAATCCTAGGTACCTTTTTTGCACCCATCGCTCCTTTGACGCTGGCGTTGGATGTGACACCAGCGTATTTCTACAACATGCAAACCATTTCCACCAGACATTTCACATAGAAAACACGGAAGGATGCTCTTTGTTAAAACTGAACCAAAGGTTTTTCTGTAGAGAGGCTCCTGCACTGTTTGGATCTAGACTGCCTAGTTTCACATCTTTCTATTTCTACTGTGATTTTCAGCTCTGGTGAAATCAATACACACAAAGAAGTCAGAGTCATGTTTTCTCCATTTTCCTTCAGAACCTTCATGGATATTCTAACCAGAGATTCTAAAAATCAGAGATTCACATTCATTATGAAATCCTGAATCAGATTAGCTTCTCAAGTTTTGTGAGTAGGTCTCAAACAGACCTATTCTCTCAGCTGTTATCCCAAAGGAGGGTGGTGGTAGGAGGAATTAGTGGTTTGCCTGTAGTTCTCTATTGCATTTAGAAGCTTGAGTGGATCTAGATATGAATCAGTGTGTTTGAATAAGATGTAGCAAGATGTAAGAACACAATCCTGTGTATACATATGCATACATAGCTGTCACATGACAGTATGATGAAAACCTGTTTTCATTTCTTGAATCACTGCAAGGCAACCTAACCCGGACTAGAATCAGGGCATGAGCTAGGTTCAGCCTAATATCACAATGAATCTGTCCTGGAAAATTAAGTACATCTACACCAAGCACCTATGCCTTAAAGAAAGCGGGATAGAGAAGAAAAGCTGTGTAGGGA